AATAGGTGCAAAAACCTCGTCAAAGAAGGGATGATCTACCAACTGCATAAATCTTTTACGGGATGAAACAAGCTCCAAGGGATTGGAATCTGAAAATTGATTCATTTTTCAAGCATCTGGGATTCAAGAAATGTGAAATGGAATATGGTGTGTTTGTGCAACATACTTTTGAAGGCAATGTGATTTTAGTGTGTCTTTATGTGGATGACATACTTCTAACAGAGAGGTACTTCTTAGATAAACAAGTTCATGAAGGTGTTGATGAATGTTTTTGATATGACTGACCTTGGAAATATGGTATATTTTTTAAGGATGGAGATTTTTTTTTATTCTGAGAAGGGAATTATTGTACATCAACTGAAGTATGAACTTGAATTGCTAAAGAGATTTAAGCTGATGAATTGTAAGTCAGCAGTCACACATGCTGAGACAAATCATAAGCTGGACTCTAACAATGATAGAGAGGATGTAGATGCGACAACATTCAAATAGTTGGTTGGATGTCTAAGATATGTGCGTAACACCAAGCCTAACATATGTTATGCAGTTGGAATGATGAGTAGGTTTACGAGTAAACCAAAGTGGTCACATTATCAAGTTGCAATCCAAATTCTGAGGTATGTAAGAGGGACTCTGAGGCATGGAATTTTATTTTCATTTAGAGCGTTAGATGCTACTGAGCTGATGTGTTATTCAGACTCAGACTGGTGTGATGACAGAGTAGAAAAAAGAAGCACTACAAGATACATGTTTATGTATGTAGGATACCCTATTTCTTGGTGCTCTAAGAAGAAATCAGTGGTTGGATTGTCAACCTATGAAGCTGAATACATATTTGGTGCTTTTCCATCTTGTCAGACTGCTTGGTTGATGTATTTGCAGTAGGAACTGATGTTCAAGATGAGCAAACCATTCATATTGATGATTGACAACAAATCTGCCATAAGTCTTGCTAAGAATCCAGTGCTACATAGAAGAAGGAAGCACATTGATACTAAGTACCATTTTATGTGCAATCAGGTTCAGGATGGAGTTCTTGAGGCTTTCATGTCAACACTTAGAAGCAACTTGCAGGTGTGCTTGTTGGGAAATTTTCCTTGAAGCCAAACCACTCCAAGAATTTCACACCGTCTTCACGAACAATCATAGTTTTAAAATATTATCATACTCCATCTAAAGAAGAGTATACTTCACTTTAAGCTAAACTATTTTAAGAATTTTCACATGTCAAAAATCAGATTGAAATATTATAGTACAACTTTAAGAAGCTCTTCAACCACCAACATAATTTTGCACCTTGTGTAATCTTGATTGTATCAACGCATCTTTGATGTGAATTTTCTACAAGTAAAAAAAAAATCTTCCATCAATTTTCTCTAGCTCAAACTAAACAACCAAATTTATGACTATAACTCAACAACTCTTTCATAATTAACAATGCCCTTCTTTTTTGATGTGGAAGATTAGACAAAATTGTGACCAAAGAGCATACTAAGAACACTTCTTCTTGGATCGAACCAAAAGCTTCAATACCACTGTTGAGGAGTTAGAGAGAGTCAGGAACACCAATGAGACTATTGCTTCAGGACCACAAGAGAGGGAGACGTCACATGTCAACCCAAAACCTTAAGGTGTCATGTAAATGAACCATCTCTCTTATAAATCCAACATTTCACCCATTCATACACAATGTGGGACTTTAACCACTCATATTGCACCCAACATTCTCCCCCGTAAGTGTGAATCTGGTTTGTATTTAATTTTAGTTTGTATTTCATTTAATTTGAATTTTGGTGAATCTATATAAAATCAAAATGAAATTAATTTGCAACAGAATAACAAATTTGAACTTTTGCATTTTGAGATTAGAAAGTTAGTTACACTTGTTAATGAAAGTTCATTATTGAACAGTTACTCTAACAGTTATGTGTCACATAATTAACAATACGAAAAACAACTCAGTAAGACTACCGTATAGAAACTTGATAACAAAAATATTATATAAATTTGAAGTTAATACGATAAACATACATTCATGACCTTCCTCTATTTTCTTTGAACCTTTGAACCGAAGATTTTAAAAGAGATAAAGATCCGAATAGCTGATAAAGAATTGGAGTGTATTGTTATAGAGATCTCAACACTCGCACTACTAAAAATAAGACATTTGGTTAAATAATTTTACATTAGATTTTTAGATATATGATGTGAAAAATATTTGTTAAAGGATTTTACATCAGATTTATTAACAATATGATGTGAGAAATATTTGATTTAAAGATTTTATATCAGACATATATTTCCACTGATGTAAAAAATAACGCGGTGACAGTGTCGTAAATAATAAGAAATTTTGTTATAAAGGATTTTACATCGGGGCATTTATTCCAACCGATGTAAAAAGTTCTCAATAAAAAATAAATAAAATGGGTGAAATATTTTATATCAGACCATGTACCCCAGCTGATGTAAAAAATAATGTGGTGGCAGTTTCGTAAATAATAAAAAAATTTGTTATAAATGATTTTACATCGGAGTGTTTACCCCAACCGATGTAAAAGTCCTCAATAAATAAATAAATAAATAAATAAAATATATTAATTAAACATTTTACATCGGGTTGTTTATCCCAACCGATGTAAAAGTCCTCAATAAATAAATAAATAAAATAGATTAAGTCATTTTAATTGAAATTTTTTTTAAGTGATTTATATTTAATTGATAATAATTGCATGATATTTTAATTTTATAACATAAAAGGACTATGTATAACGGTTAATATTAACTCACACACCTTATACGTTATGTGGTATAACCATATGAAAATAAAATTTCAATTCTTTAGTATATATCATCTAAATTATATTTTTTTAACATTCATATAAAATGTGATCACATGCACTAATTATGAAATTGTATAAAAAATACAGATATTATGAGATGTTTCTTTATATTAATAAAATAATATAGATTAAGTCATTTTACATAGATGTAAATTAAAAGTGCTTTTTTTAATAAAAAAAAATAATAATAATTTCATATCAGTTTTAACTGTCAACCGATATAGTAGATGTATTTTCTACATCAATCTATGACCCGATGTAAAATGTCTTTGATTTACTACATCGCTTAGCTTTTAATCGAACCCAGACCCGATGTAAAATGTGTTTTTGGTCTGATATAAAAAGTCATTTTTGCACTACTGTCATGAAAACATATTGTTAGATAGATTTTTTTTTGGTTAACATGTTTTTAGTTAGGTATTTTTAGTTGAAATTTTTTAGTTAGGTTAGGTACATACTAATATTTGTCAAAATAATATATATATATATATATATATATATATATATATATATATATATATATATATATATATATATATATATATATATATATATATATATATATATATATATATATATATCTCAACTTTGAAGGCGACATTAATGCTAAAGAGAAAGAGAGTTGATATTACAAAATAAATGAACCGCAAAGGCATGCAACCCCACCAACCTCATACCATTCTTAAATTTACTTTCAAACACGTTGCAACTCACAAGCTACATATTTACCCCACAAATCTGTCAATTTGGGAAAAAGGTTCCTCCTCCTCTCTCCAACATAATTGCAACACGCTTCTTACAAAAACATTTAAATAATATCACATTCTTAACCTCGCAACTCTCGCAGCTTTTAAATATATCTTTTAAAAATTGTGAATAAAGTACTTTGCATATACTCTTTTGTGTTAAAGCTATCCGTATTAAGTATAGTAAAGGAAAAAGAAATGCATTTTGACTTGTTAATCTAAACATTATGATATATTAAGTGAATTTTTATGTTTAGAGAACTCTCTTCAAAGGATTTAAAGTTTTATATTTGATGATATTCTCATAATTTTAATTTAATAGTAATTTTTGTCTTTAATTTTGCTGTTTTTTATTTTTTTTTTTAAATTTTAAAATTGTTGAGTTAATTAACATCATATTATTTTATAAAATATTATAATAAAATTTTATTTATATAATTGAATATGACAACAAAACTCGTGTTCGATTTATAAAATTAATATCTCTTCTAACACTCCGTGAGTTTAATAAAAACAATTCACTTTAATCTGTTTAAATTTATTATGGTTTTGATAATGATGATTCACTTTAATCTATTTAAATTCCTAAATTGAACAAATGAATTCACATTAATGAAATTTGAGTTTAGAATTTTTTTTTTAAGTTTTAAAAGTTAAGGATGATTAATGAAATCTACTTATAATTTGAATTTAAATTTTCTTTAATTTAAAAAATTAAGAATGAGATGAATAATGAGATGTTAATATTATTTCAGAATCTAACATGCTCTATTGAAAATTTAGAATATGGTTAATAATTTAAAATATTTAATGTTTGATTGACATATTAAAATTTTAATTCATATTTTATTAGTTGAATTTAAATTTTAAGTACAAATTTTTGTAGGATTAATTTAATTTTTTTAATGGATGATAACGATGATTAGATTTTGAAATAATTATTTATGAGTTTAAAAAATAAATTATTTCAACTTAAAATAATTGATTATGATGCGAGATAGAGTAGACATACCAAAACTCGACTAAAATCAATTTTAAATTTAATTATTTATTTTTGTTAGAAATTTTATTTGAATTCGAGATTGGTAGTAACTAACCATACTCATCCAATTGTCATAGCTAATTCTAGTTGACTTTTTATTTAATGGTAAGCTTGAACTGTTGTTGAAAACAATCCATATATTTAATTTAATGCCAAATAACTTCAATACAGACCCATTACATTAGGAATAAATATTTTTTCATAAATAACATTACATTGAATTTCTAAAAAAAAAGGAAAAATAAAATATTACATTACACCACTAGTTAAAATCATAATAATAACAACATAATATTATCTTAAAAACTTTTATTTGAGTGTGCATGCTGAGTTTCTTGTGCATATTTTATTTCCGAACCAATCAATTTTTCAAGCCTGAACCGGCACACTATGAAGAACAACGGTCTCAACCGTCAAACCCGGTCCAAACCCAAACAAAACCCCCCACTCCAACCCTTCACCGGTCGTAACCTTCCCTTCTTCCTTAGACCTCTTCCTCATTTCATCCAAAATAAACAAAACACACGCACTAGACATATTTCCGTACTCACTTAACACATGCCTAGTAGACCGGAGTTTCTCTTCCTTCAACCGGAGTTTTTCCTCCACCTGGTCTAAAATAGCCGGTCCACCCGGATGCGCAACCCAAAAAATCGAATTCCAATCATTAATCCCAATCGGTTCAAAAGCTTCCACCAAGCTCTTCTCAATGTTCTTTGAAATAATCCCAGGAACATCTTTCAGCAAATGAAAAGTGAGCCCTACTTCACGAAGATGTCCGTCAATGGCGCCGTCGGAGTCCGGAAGAATCGTCTGAGCAGCAGAAACAATCTCGAAGATGGGACGCTCCACGGTCAAATCCGGATCCGCGCCGATAATCATCGCCGCGGCTCCGTCACCGAAGAGCGCCTGTCCAACGAGAGAATCCAGATGAGTCTCTGACGGACCACGGAAAGTCACGGCAGTAATTTCAGAGCAAACAACAAGAACTCTAGCATTCTTGTTATTCTCAGCAAGATCCTTCGCTAAACGGAGGACCGTCCCGCCGGCGAAGCAACCTTGCTGATACATCATCAACCGCTTCACAGACGGTTTAAGACCTAAGAGCTTCGTCAGCTGGTAATCTGCTCCGGGCATGTCGACACCTGACGTAGTGCAGAAAACGAGATGAGTGATTTTGGATTTCGGTTGTCCCCATTCAGCTATGGCTTTCTTCGCCGCATCTTTTCCAAGCTTCGGCACTTCCACCACCACAATATCCTGTCTCGCATCCAGTGATGGTGCCATGTATTCACACATGTTCGGATTCTCTTTCAAAAACTCCTCAGTCAAGTGCATGTAACGTTTTTTTATCATCGATCTATCACCTGAAAATGCATACATAAATAAAACTCAATTCATTTTATATAAACTATAAACTATATCATAGATATCTAGGTTTTAATATTTCTATAGACATACACATGCGCTTGAATTTCTCTTTGAGGTCAGTCATGTGCTCGCTGTTGGTGATACGGAAGTAATAATCCGGATACTCAGCTTGTGTTACACAGTTGGGAGGAGTGGCTGTGCCGACAGCCAAGATAGTGGCCGGGCCTTTGGAACGCTGAGCGTTGCGAATCTCCTCCACAGACACCATTTTTGAGATTTTTTTTACCAGAGAGTAACAAAGCAATGCAAGAGATTTGGTAAAGTGAGAGAATTTGGAAGGGGAATCAGGTTTTAAGTGGTGTTGATTTGGTGCTTCAATGGGAGAAATGTAGGTTCCTATAAATATGATTTTGATATGGAAATGAATTGGGTGGGCACACCATGCAAAAACCTTGGTGTGAGTAGTAGGTTTGAGGGACGGACAGATGAGAGACCACGTGTCTTAGGTATTGTGAGTAACCTGTGGTTGATATGTAGCCACACAAATATTGGTAACTATGTACGTACTAAAAATGTTCGTAACTATGTACAAATACAAAGTATTTTGGTTTTTTTAAGATCGGTGGTAATGGGAAATTGGATTCTATACGATCATAGAAAGAAGTTCACGTGGTAATTCACTATGTGACCATTGGATAGGTAAAAATTTAAACTCAATAAATTGAATAGTTATTGTTTATCTTAAACGATTTTTATAAGTTGTATTGATGATGGTGATGAAGATCCCTACCACGATAGATTTTCAAATGTTGTATTTGAAGGTGGAGGATGTAATGTAATTATGAATGTTTAAATTTGAATAGATCTAAATGAAAAGGTTTAATTAGTTTCAAATTAAAGATTTACTTTAGTTTTTTATTTAACAAATTACTTTTTAATTCTAAAAACTTATTATGTTAGTCAATTGGATCATTTAGGTTAAATTTTGAGAAAAATATTAAGTTGTGCCGGTGTGGTGATCCAATTGACAAAAGTGAAAATAGTGAGTCAATAAATTTGATATAAGCTGTAACCATATTCATTTTAGAATATTTTTGTAAATAGAAAAGTGTTTTGAGGATTCTAGAATTTTAGTGAGTTAGTCGCTTCTAGGTCAATTTGAGTTTTACCTAAATTTATTTTGGGCTTTTTGACTTTAAGTGAGGGTGTTAGAGGCCTCATAACCTAGATTAGTTCAATACGGATAACTCTACTATATCTCCAAATATATATATATATATATATATATATATATATATATATATATATATATATATATATATATATATATATATATATATATATATATATATATATATATATATATATATATATATATATATATATATATATATATATATATATATATATATATTTAAAACCTGTGTTGATAAATTGTTAGAGTCACTCTTTTGTTTAGTAGGATCCATCTCGCCTCTTTAGGATTTTTCTTCTTCCAGCATTTCTTTCATTTCTGATACTGGTAGAAGAGTCATTCTTTATAAAAAAATAAGATCAGAAGAATTAGAAGAAGGCTAATATGAGGTAGAAAAAATTACAAACAAAAAAAAAACTTACGTAAAAAACTATCACACTTTGGTTTATCTTCATCACAATTCATCAATTCTCTAACAATCATAACTTTGAATTGCTCTAAAAACTCAACACCATCTTTTTCTATCATACTAAGCTTATCGAAATTATAACCCATGATTGACATGGACTTGTTTGTCCAATAAAGTGTAAATTGATGATTTTCGTCCTCATTAAAAATGAAAGTAGACTACTTAATGTTACCTTGGAATCGAACAAACATATCCTTCTAGTTGTTGTAGTCAGAATTGTGTGGAGTAAGAAGCCCCTATTAGTAAGGACACTTACTGAAACCCAACTGCCCTTAACAATGCTTTTGGTCCCGTAGAAAGAAAAAGAATATGCTTGTAGTTGGCATAATTTTTAGAGCTGCGTAGAGGATCTCAAAGCCTTTCTTGAATGTATAAACTCTAAAGGAAGAATCGTACAAGGGCATAATTTTTATTCAACGAATTGATACTTGAAACCTCTTTACGAAAGGTGGTCGTGCTTCCCTCGAAATCATAGTAAGAGATCTCACCAATAATGGGTAAAAAGATACCAAAATAATGTCACTACTTTGGTTGATATCTGTTACACTTGGATATTTAGCTACCATAAAGTCAACAAAGAATATCAGTGAAAAGACGTTGTAATAAATAACGAAGTATCTTAAAAAAGACACGGGAACTTTAATGAAATATCTTTAAAGAAACATTAATGGCAGGTGGTCAACAAACCAACTATGAAGGATCGACCAAGTCGTCAATACAGCTAGGACATGGTTTGGTGGACTCTTAGAGAAAAAACCCCAAGACCCATATTGTAGGGAAATATGTCTAAAATATCGAAAATGACAGCCGACAGATGCATATCTAGAATCTCGAGAAGGGCGGTCGATAGAAGCCCTCGTTCCATTCAAAAGGACCCGTTGACGATACATCATGGTATAAAGACTTTAGTGATTCTTACAAGTCTTGGGTTTTTAAGAAATTTTCAACGACACTTTAGAGAAGTTATCTTCGAAAAATCGTGAAAAAATGAAAGAAGTGGAAAAACGGTTACCACTCAGTGTGGGTTACAAGTAGATAACATTTATGGAAAACACGTAAGCGCATTAGTGGAAGCCTGAAGGGTCGAACATGGAGCAAATGCAACTATCTCCTAGTGTCCATAACCGTCGTTGATGGTTATATTGAAGGAAAATTGCGATCTAAACGCAGCGGAAAACAAAAATTTCCTTTAGTGATCCTTACGAATGAGCATGGTCAGTGATAGAATCGTTACCTCTTTGTGTCGATTCAGATCTTTGATGCAGCGATCACAAGCGTTGATGAAGTGCAACGCCTCTACTCAGTCCACACGAACAGCTTCCGGTCACAGTGCTAGCTGCTTACGAACGGAATTATTTGAGTGAGAAAAGAGAATCAAAAACGAAATTGCATCAAGTGAAAGCTTCATCACAAGGGTTCCTTTTATAGACTCTCTTGTGGGCTGCGGGCTAAAAACCCAATTCACATGATCCATAATAATATTATATATTATTATAATAACTATTATTATAATAAATATATTTATTTTATTATTATTTTATAACCATTATAAAATAACAATAATTATTATTATATTATCCGAATTTCTATTTTTCACTTAAGTGCACCGTACCTTACGGTGTTCCTTTGATTTCTCTATCTCTCATCAAACTGTCCTTATGTGTGTGACCCTGTAGGATTTCGTAACGTTGGTAATTATATTAAATTATATATTTAACATAATAAACAGTAAGCGGTATCTAGCAACACATCACTGCTACCCAAGTCACGAAAATGTCATGTGATCTGACAAAACCTTTTTCGTGATAATATATGTTTGTACAATTACCCTTTTGCCCCTATGTCTATATTGAACACAAGGCATACACTGTGTCATCCTTGTCCAGTTCAATATTGGGCCCTTAGACATTTCTCCTGTTATGCAGGATTGGCAAATTCCATCTAGGACACTCATGTCCCTCAGCATGCTTCGTGGAGTGCCCATCAACTGTCTTTATGATCATCCAGTTACGGATAATGTTTGATCAGCAATAAAACACCCGACTCTACATCTAGGGTCCATAGTGGTTTCAGGTCGAAGGGTGGTAATACACCATTATCACCATGAGAATAACTTATGACACTTTGCATAACATACTATGTAGTATTCTCATAGCGGGTCAATCCGGTATAAATATTACTCCTAATATTTATACCTATGTCAAGACTTGATAACTCTTTATCCATGATCCATGAGATGTGATCATCAGTCTATCTTCATAATAGTCTCAATGCTTTTAATGTTATCCCACTTTGCAATAAAGCTTGACTACGGATATTTTAAGAATAATGTCTTTATGTTTAATGGGATCTCATGATTAAGTCACACTTAACATTTCATTAAACAAACTAACTATTCTAGGGACTTTATTATTCTGAAAGACAAACATAATAAAGAAATGCCTTTTATTATTAAACGAATAATCCGATACAAGTACCAAAAAGTATTGGCCTCTAGGGCTTACACCAACATATATTGTGAATAGAAAAATAGCAGACTCACACATGAGGATCGGGGTCGAAAAATTTCATACATTACTCTTCATACCACTGGAGTACCCGAGTTAAAGAGCAAAACAGTTGAGCGAGAAACATGTATACATCTTGTCCACCCTTTTTTAAGTCTTTTTTGCTTCCTTCAACGAAACATTTTACTTCTTCTTTTACTTTGTTTAATGTTATTTACTCCATTTTACCTTATCATTTATCAAAACTTGACTTCATTTAAAGTCTTTTGTTACGTTACATTCAATTCACGCACACGTGTGTTGACACAAATTATTTGAAAAAATTGCTTTGAAGATTTTTCAAGTTAATCTCATAGATTTTCAAACTAATTATTGTTTACGAAAAACATCGGTAAACAAATTGGCACACCCAGTGGGACCCTTTTGTATGGATATTGTTTGCAGAAAAGTTATGTCCTACGTTTAGTTTATAGTGTTGTTCGTTTCTATGGTCTTTTGCGTTGTATGCACTTGAGAAGTGGTAAGCGTTTTTCCAGTATGTCTAGAAAAAACCAAAAACCTTCCCAAAGTAATACTTCAAACCCATTAGGACAACCAACAATTACTAGTGTCGCCAACTCTGTGGCTCCGACCTCGGTCGAGGAGATGCCTATTGTCATCAGTCAAGAAGTGAAGTATTCTATACCACCATATGTGAGGATTTCATCACCACAAGCATCAATCACACCAACCTTTTTTTAGGGAATTACAGAATCCGGGAGACCAGAGGCCTCCTTATTTAGGTTTTTCTCTACCTTATAAGAAACAACTGTATCGCATGCCAATTGCAATGATGGCAAGCATACACTCTAGTACGTCAATATATTCAGATAACGTGATGGTTGTTGCACCCCAAAATTTTCACCCCCTTTTCTAACCTTAACTGGATTTTGTTTCGTATTCATCTGCATAGCCGTTAGGTCATGAACTTATAACCATACATTGCATTAGTTGGTTCCTATTTTAGGTAAAGTTGAAGCGAGGTTCGAATTCACATTATCATGAATATCTTCTTATTCAGAGGTTCATCAAGCTCTAAGGTTTTCCCCATTCAGAGG